CACCACTCCATTACTTCCAACTATGAAAGAAAACCTACGTATAAATAAATTAATACGAGTAAATAAATTTCACTTTGTTTCTTGAAAAATTCCATTCACGTTTATGGCGATTCAAGCCTGCTGGAGGCTTCTCTGGCGCCCTTGCGAAAATTCTCAAGAAATAAAGTGAAATTACTCGTTAGCTATTAGGTTGATTAGGTTAATACTTTTTTTACTCAGAATTCGATATTTTTCCATATTTTGATATAATAAAAAAACATAGTATTCCATTTGAAAAAAATAAAGTTGACCTTCAAATCTTCGAAACGCCTCTTATAAAAAACATAAATGCACTACATAGTACAAATTTACTATAATTCACTATAATTTATATCAATTTATATTTACTATTATATTAATTTATATTTATATTTATTATTATATTAATTTATATTTATATTTACTATTATATTAATTTATATTTATACTTACATTTACTATTATATTAATTTATATTTATATTTATTATAATTTATATTAATAATTATAAGGTAAATTTACCATGCAACTTTAAACCATGCAACTTTTGTACACGAAATTTTTTCTGCAACGCATAGTTTGGAGGTTATGGTAGGTGCACAAGCGTGGACCACCCTGTATATAGTACTACAGGCAGGACCTTCGTCGGCTCCGGGAAACGGATGGCAGTTCCGATAAGGTATCGCCGCTATCAAAGCGGTCGACGAAGTGAAGATATAGGAAACCGAAAGAGAACCGGCCGATTTGTTTCATAGAAACGGGAAATGAACGGGACGAACGTTAAGTCCAAGTAAAAGTCCCACCCGCGTGCTGCGGAAAGTTGAAGACTCTTTTGCAATGATCCTCGAGTTGGCGCGAGAGTCGTACGAGTTGAAGCGATACTACTTCTTTCTTGCAAACACGGCTTAATCTCGGAAATCTGGTCGCATTATGCAGAGGGATTACCTTTCTGTATATACCCCGTGTCACAAAGATTCTCACGTTTTCTTTTCTTTTACACTTTGTTGCTCTTGCATTCTATTAACGTAGGGCTATTAATTGTTCATAATCTTTTATTTTATATCTAGTATTTTCTTGGAACTTACTATAGTTTATATTTTAATATTAATTAATTTTAACATTTATATTAATATTATTAACTTAATTTAATTTATAATTTATATTTTGATGGAATTTATTTAACTCTCGCATTTGGCTTGATATTGGCATATTTTCAAAAGCATAATTTTATATTTAATATAAAATATTTGATGTAAATATTTATGTTTAATAGTTTAAAAAAGTTTTTTTTATTTGAAATGTTTAAGAATATTTTTAATTTTCTTTGATCTTATCATCATCGATTAACCGTTTGCCTTCGAAAACTTTTTTTTTTCGTATGTATCATCTACCCAAAATTTATATTCACGAAGCATCATCAATTCAAATAAAATGACACGTAGCATTGGAAATAATCATTGAAATGGTATTTAATTTTGGCGAAATTTTGTTGATTATAATATCTTTGTAACACGTGATATTTAAATTTAAAGCAATCATCGACTTTATTCGGGTTTGTTAGAACAGGTATAACATAGTTTTAAGTTCTGGGAAAAATAATATCGTCCGCCATCTTTTGAACTTTCGTAAGAGGCAATAAGAAGTCCAATTTATGTGAAACGAGCGTCAATTGACTCAGGACTCTACTGTCTTCAGAAATTTTCTCTTTTGAAATTCTTTTGCCCTTACGTCGTTGTTATAGCTTTCACTCTAGGCTAGTCATAATACTATCATACATCGCATCGTACAAATGTATACGCTCGTTGCAATTATCAGCAAATGATAAAACAGTGAAAGTCCGAGCTGTTGGCTAGATTTAAGTACGATGTCTCCTCCAAGTGCAAAGAGTTCAAGATAGGATTGTTCATTAGGACTTGATCATTGCCCAAATAACAAAGGGATGAAGAAATCGTGACACGACATCTCCGTGATTGCGAGGTATCAAATTTTGCGATCAAGTTAGCGAGGAGTCGCATGACGTACGACCTTGGGGAAGTAGGACCATGGCAGCTGACATGCAGGTGCAACATGTTCGCAGGTGCATACCTGCTGCTGCTGCTGCTGTTGCTGTGGCTGTAGCTGTTGCTGTTGCTGTGGCACCTGCATACCACACGAAGCACGTGGCTAGTGATGATTGAAGATGATATTTTGACGGACCAAATTTTTCTTCCTCTTTTTTCTCCATTTTCTTTCACCTCCATTGCGCTGGCAACTGATTGCGGATCATAACGAGTGACCAAATCGTAAACAATAAATTCCTCGCTTTCTTTTCGAACTCGGTGTGACATCACTGGATAGAAACTATTGAAAAGTAATAAATTTTTTATTTGTTTTGCCTGGGTTATACTTGAAAATATTGCAATTTTGCGACGAGAAAATTTTCGACGCCTGTGGCGCAAGAGGTTAATGCTACTTTAACCACTTGCGCTGGCAACTGATTGCGGACCATAACGAGTGACCAAACCGTACAATAAATTTTTCGCTTTCTTTTCGAACCCGTCGGTATGACATCACTGAATAGAAATTATTATAGAGAAGTAATAAATTTATTATTTATTTTACCTGGGTTATACGTAAATATACTCAGAGCTGAGAAAATAATGCAATTTTGCGACGAGAAAATTTTCGACGCCTGTGGCGCAAGAGGTTAATGCTACTTTAACCACTTGCGCTGGCAACTGATTGCGGACCATAACGAGTGACCAAACCGTACAAAATAAATTCCTCGCTTTCTTTTCGAACTCGTCGGAGTGTGACATCATTGGATAGAAATTATTCTAGAGAAGTAATAAATTTATTATTTGTTTTGCCTGGGTTATATACTTAAATATACTTAAAGAAAATATTGCAATTCTGCGACAAGAAAATTTTCAACGTGCGTGGCACATCATTACAGCGCAGAAGATTAAATAATTTCGTGTAGAATTTGCAGTTAATATAATTTTAACAATGTTGTAAATAATATAGCGAATGTATTATTGCGATTCATTCTTTTCTCTCTTTCTGCTTCCTCTTTTGTAATTAACCGTCAGAAATTCGAAAGCTCTGTTTAAAATTGATAAAGAAAATATACTTAAATGGAATTTAATTCGTGGAGCAAATGATAGATAGTTGGGATTTTTTGTAGCGATAGTTTTTAAGAAAACTAAAACCACTTGCGCTGGCAACTGATTGCAGACCATAACGAGTGACCAAACTGTACACAGTAAATTCCTTGCTCTCTTTTCGAACTCGTCGGTGTGACATCACTGGATAAAAATTATTGAAAAGTAATACATTTATTATTTGTTTTGCCTGGATTATACTTAAATATACTTAGATCTAAGAAAATATTGCAATTTTGCGACAAGAAAATTTTCGACGTTCGTGACGCACGAAGTTAAGGCTTCTTTAATCACTTGCACTGGCAACTGATTGCGGACCATAACGAGTGACCAAACCGTACACAGTAAATTCGTCGCTCTCTTTTCGAACTCGGTCGGTGTGACATCACTGGATAAAAATTATTGAAAAGTAACAAATTTATTATTTGTTTTGCCTTGGGTTATGTACTTAAATATACTCAAAGCTGAGAAAATATTGCAATTTCAAAAGTAATACAACACTAACTCGTGGAAATTAAATCAATGAATCCAGATGGATTAACGATGCAGCGAATAGAGCAACGCGCACAAGCGTTATTCGATTATACTTGAATCGTCTCCACGTCTCTCTGTCGATAAATCGCAATGGGACGCAAAAAAAAA